TATTTCAAGTGCAGAGACGCTAAGGATGTGGGTAGCAAGCAAGCAAGTATTACCTACTTACATTTTACTAGCGTTACTAAGTAATTGATTAATTGAGAAAGTTTATTAATGTAGTAGGTTATTTCATTATATTTTGAGACTTCTTAAGATCTCTGTCATACATTTCTCAATAGCGCAGAAAGGGGTAAATTCTACGAATTGTACCTATTTGCACATCTCCCTCGAGAGATCGGTGGGTTCTTGAGGCGGCACGCGCCACAATGGTGAAAGATAAGTTACTTGGTGCGCATCGAGCTGTGAACCGAAAGTCTGGTGTTTACATGCGAAATCGACTTCGCATCCCAGTCCGTGTTCGGCTGCCACCAGCCTCGCTTGTTCAGGATTGTGTTGAAGGTGAATTGGAATTACGTAATACAAACGCAAGACTTGTCCACTTGGAGATTACGTCACCTAATTATAAAGACGTTACCCTTTAATAAGATTAATCTATTGCATGTGAAGTGGTTACAGAACATATACTGATGTAGGTAAACATAAAAATGCATTTTTTTAAATTATAGTTTTCAAATATGAAGAGCTGAGTATTTCAAACGCAACTGTCACGAATATTAACGTTCCGTTTCAGAAAAGTGTGGTTGAATGATATCACTGATAATAAGTTATCAATGCGAATAACCACTTCCTATGAATGAGGGAATTCATGGTCTAGTGGACAAGATAAGATAATGTGAATAATTTGAAAGTTTTTGTCGTAATTTAAATATGATAAGCACTTTTTATTTTTTTGAGCTAGGCAGGTTTAGTTTTCACTGCTAATACTTATACAGAAACGTCTTGTACACTATGACATTATTCCTAATCATGGTAATTCAGCTAAACACCCCTAAGTCCTGAGTAAATTATAAGACATACTTTTCTACATATATGTATTATGTTTCCTTATTTAGATATTGAAGTTAGAATAGGTACTTACTTAGTAACCTATGTAGATACCCCTTTTTTATATTCCGAATGGAATTTAAGCAAGTTTCTTAATAGTTTTTTTGGTATATCAATTTAAAAAATATTTAAAAAAACTATCAAACCAACTCATTTACCAAAAACCCTTGTCAATCATCTCATCTTATTGCATGCGCCGGCGCATCACATTTGTATGTGGCATACCTTAACCTAATAAAACAAGAAGTCTTTGAAAAAATCTAGATTATGAGTATCGGTTACTGCTATAATGTCTAATGCCAAAAGGTAATATTATTAAACTAGGATAAATGGTGGCTTACATTCTTAATAGGTACGTGTACGCATATTTACTAAAAACACTAGTCAAATTGTTATTTGTAATCACAACTTTCACCTTTACCTTACTTAAAATTCAGTTTTAATTTTTCACAGTCAGTAAATTCGTTACTCAACATCTTAATGTTCTTATTTTTACTTTTGTAGTTTCAAATGAGTACTAGAACATATGTGACATATGCGATAGCGTTCTCCCACAATATAATAATTATGTATATATTCTACGTTAAGTAGATCAAATAAATATAATATACAATGCATGTGATTGTTCAAAATTCTAAATTATGTACCTACTTTACTTATTAGACGTGCACTACATACAAAAGAAGGAAAGTATTATATATTAAAGATATATAAGTAGATATACATGTAACACATTACCACAGTAGGTACCTGCACATGGCCCTCACTGATATTATAAGAATCTTTTTATGAAATATACCAGTATAATAATATATCACCTTGGAAAACCTAAACACCGTTTTCACAGAAAAATTTTCGTACTTCAGCTATGGGACATAACCATTTTTTATGATTAGGTATAATAGCAAAAGTCAAGGGATATACAATCACGTTATTGTACGGATATTTTATGAAGATATTACATAAATACCTGCACAGAAAACTTATAATCTTATAGTAGGTGATAAATAGGACGTATATGGGCTGGTATAGTATAGAGCAGCACAATAAAAAATGCAACGTTAAGAGAAACGCACTCAGCTCAGGAAACCACTTAATTTAAAGTTTCTTGCCTGATGTAGCGCTCTGATAATAATAAACAAACATAGATGATTGTCTAATGTAAGTGCCTACCTGCGCCTTCGACCCGAGACCATATGTTACGGGATGACAGTGAGCGACAGTTAGAGATAAGTGTGTAACTGTAACATAATGGTAACTCGTCTCGTTGACTGCTTTCGGTCACAACTATTTGCTTTATGTACTTATAAGTGAAATATAGGACGTTAGGCAATTTATACGTACAGGTTCAAGAGCACGTCAAACTTGCCACATAAGACTTAAATTCAACTCTACGCCGCTTAGGATTAGAACCAAGAATTTCAGTAGCAGTAGAGCTTGTGAAAGAGTTTATCCAGAATAGTACTGCCACTTTGCCTATTTCTGCCGTCAAATAGTAATTTCAACATTATTGTGTTCCGGTTTTGAAGGGTAAGGGTGCTGGTGAAATTACAGGCACGTGGGACTTTTCAACTTATGCCTCATGGGCGCAGTGGCAGTGCCGCTCAGATCTTAAAGCTCTGAGTGGCACTGCAACTGTTATTGATAAGCGTGTAGCTTACCATCATGCGCACTTGTTCGTCCCGTCATTTAATATTATAAAAAAAACACAGAAATCTAAATAAATCTGATCTTTACCATACCTACCTAGTTATCAGCTATCATTACGTAAGAAAAACGGTGTAAAGTAGTCATAACATCTTAACAAATAATATTCTTTTTACTTTCCAAACATTTCATGTAGAAGCGATGATAGAATTAAACAATTAATTTATTCGAAAAAAAAAGATATTTGTGGCTCAAATTGTTGTTTCATGAACACTGTCATATATCAAAATATGCCTTTTTGATTTGTTGCAACTCTGTACCACGGCAAAAAATGACAATTTCAGACGAAATAACAGTCTTATTAAGTACCTTAAGATATTTTTATTGCTGAAACACATTCTCCAAAGCAAACTCTTTAGGCCTGCATTATCTTTTCGATAGTTAATGTCCACTTCTCGAATTTACCGCTTCCTAAAATTACATACCTATTCCTAATGCATTTTCTTCTAAAGGGTAGGAAGTCGAATACGGAATCTGGCGTAATAACAGAAATAATCTATTTTTTGTGGTTAATGAAAATCCCTACAATATTACTAGTTTCGAATAGGTCGTCATACCACACGGTGACCTACATTTCTCAAACCTAAAAACCTTCAAATTGAACGAGATTGCGCAACCTCTAAAACAATGACGCAAAAAACGTTATACGTAGTTCCACAAATCGCCAATAAGAAACAATAGCCAGTGAGTGAAAGTGCAACTTAATCACCGGACCGTTGTACCTGGACTATTGTTCCTCCATTTTCATTGTTTTCAATAGTGGAGGTCCTTGACGCAACCGGATTACTATTAGAATAGAGTTTCCACTGTCTATTACTAATTTTGCGACACTGTGTCAGCTGGATATCGTGCTTCCTTTTTACAAAAAAAAGGTATAGTCCTCTGTTAGACCGATTTGACTGCCTCCGTGGCCGAACGGTTACCATGCTGAATGGCCACGCAGAGGCCCCGGGTTCGATTCCCGGGCCGGGAGAAATATTTGTATGGCCTACATTTATTTCACTCGTGAGTTTGGGTGTAATTTGTGGTTGTCTACCTATGTGTGTGCCCATGGCACCCGCGATACAGAGTTTCCCTAGTGCGAAGCTATGAGTGTGTGCGTTATGTATTTATTAATTTATTACAGGTACATCAAAGTGCATGGTAATCTTTAGACTGAGTATGCTACAATGACTGTCTCCGAAGACTCAGAGGAATGGATTTCAAAAGACAAAAGGCGCTACTATGGCTCATTTATGTAATATTTCCTGTGGTGTTAGGACAGCATGCAGAATGTCCTATACCAGAAACAATACTTCCCTGTATATGCACCAATCGAAACGAAGATATACAAATATGGTATGCACAAATAAAGCACACTATTAACTTATTTCAAAACTGGCTGACTGTACTTGGTATTTTTTCAGGTGCACACACAGCGACTTGCCGCAAGTATTAAAGGGTATCCAGAAAATTGGAGATTACCTCAGGAAACCCATAGATGAACTGATTATTGAAAATAACTATCTGCCGTCGCTTCCCGGAAAAATATTCCAAAATGTGAAGATAATGAGACTAATGCTTCGGCATAATGGCCTGGAAAGAGTTTCTGCTGCTTGGCTTGAAACGCAAGAAATGAACCTGGTTGAAATATTCATAGTCGAAAATGAGTTGAGAAACCTTCCAACCGAAAGTTTGGCAAAATTAAAGAATCTGCAAGCTTTAACCATAGAGTCTCACAATCTGAAAAGAATACCAGTATTAATGAATTTGCCAAAGCTAAGATATATCAATATTCAATCTTCAAGTCTGATCGCCATAAATGAACACACATTTGAAAATTTACCAAGCCTGGAAAGGCTGTACGTGCGTGGCAGTCCAAATCTTAGGGTATTAAAAGAAAACGCATTGTTTAATTTACCGAAACTTCGTAAACTTGAAATCACAAATTGTGGCGTAAATCTCATACACATGAGGACGTTTGCTTTACTTCCTTCTTTGTTAGAGCTTTCTCTCAGTCATAATAAAATATCAGATGCAACTATGGTGGGAAGAGCCACAAGAGACTTGCCCAAATTGTCACTATTAAATCTAAACAATAACTTAATTGACAAACTCAGCGAAGGAGCTTTCGTTGACCAACCGATGCTCGAAAAAGTGTATCTATACAGCAATGATATCAATATAATTCACCATGGAGCATTTCACAGAGTACCCAACTTAAAAGTAGTAGATTTAAATTATAACAAAATAAGCCAAATACACCCTGAATCATTCATGCAGCAATCAGGTAGTGGAGTTGAGGAATTGAGTCTCATCGGTAATCAGATAATGCACATTTCTGAATTCAGAGCACTGTTAGATGCCTTACCTCGGTTAAAGTATTTGGATATGAGCGACAACCTACTCCAAGAAATACCCAGAGGTGCATTAAGGGGTCACCCGAATTTAGAGAGATTGCATTTGAATAAAAACAATATTAAATTCATTCAAGCAGACGCATTCAAGGCCATGCCTGCTTTAAGGGAGTTGCATCTAAGTAATAATTCACTGACAGATATGATGGAAGGTCCATTTTGGAATTTACCAGCTTTGAAGGGCTTAGATCTGTCTAATAATTTCTTCCAGCGCTTACAACCTAAGCTATTGTTTAACCTACCAGCTTTAAGAAGAATTAACTTTAGCAATAATCATTTAACGGTCATAGATCCACTTACCTTTATGGAGACTCCATTATTGGAATTTGTAAACATCTCTGGGAATGCTCTTGTTTCTATTCATCCGGCTACATTCAGAAACTTGCCAAATTTATACGAAATGGACGCCAGTACTAACAGATTGGTAGAATTTGTACCAGGACTGCCACGTGGCTTGGAAAAACTTTATTTGCAACGAAATCAAATTACAAATCTACCAATTCCTCCTTCACCGGATTTAGATTTACCTTCGTTGCGAACTCTCGACATTTCTAATAATGGGATTCAAAAGGTTCCAATTGGATCCATGAAAACTCTACACAACTTGCGTCGTCTCTATATGAAACGTAATGGCTTAAGACAAATTGATACTACAACATTCGCAGATTTAGGACGTCTAGAAATGCTCGATATAAGTGATAATCAAATCATTTCAATACATCCCAAGAGTTTTAACAAACTTGAACGCTTAAAGCAAGTGAATTTACATGGAAACACAATAGAAAACTTTGATTTTATTTCAATTAAAGATAATGTGGCTTTGTCTACGTTAGATTTTAGTAAAAATAAACTAAAGAGCATCACACCAAATATTGTGAACAAAGCATTGGATGTTGAAATTTTCAACATATCATCCAACAATCTAAATGAATTACCCGTAACGTTAAACATGTTGCCAAAATTAAAGATACTAGACGCCAGTTTTAATCGTATTAAACATTTTGACGGCAATGCAATAAATAACGTGCATTCTTTAAAGGAGATAAAAATGCCGCACAATAAGTTGCTCGAACTGCGAACAGGAAGTTTCAAAGAATTAAGAGATCTAGAAACAATTGACTTGGACAATAATCAGATCGAAATTATACACCCTAGAGCGATAGAAAACCTTCCTAATCTTGTTTCTGTATATTTGAGCAGAAATCACATTATTGATATACCAGATCGTGTGTTTTCAAATCTTCCAAAGTTGAGAATATTAGAGCTACAAGGCAATCGTTTGCAGTATATATCAATACGGGCTTTTGAGAACCTACCCTTGGTCCAATATTTGAATGTTAGTAACAATCAGTTAAGCAATATCGACCATTCTGGCCTGCGTCAGTTGTCATCTTTAGAAGTTTTAGATTTGAGTTTCAACAAACTCACACAGATAACAAAAGCGTCATTTGAGTATATGGAGTGGCTTGTAGAGTTAAATCTAGATAATAATCAGCTATGCCACATTGGAGGTCAACCATTTGACTCAATGCCCAGACTAAAAGTACTTTCAATGCGGCATAACAAGTTGACTTCAGTGTCAGAAACAACTTTTACCAAATTAAGGAATAACATAGCTATACTAGACATCGATGGTGAGTTACGTTTACAATAGACGTTTTAATTACGCGAAATTGCCAACCTTCTCTATCTTACTCTGTAATTCTTCTTTCAGGTAATCCGCTGATATGTAACTGTAGGATGATGTGGTTTAAATCGTGGTTAGCAGAGTCGTCATCAATTGGACCAAAATGTTCTGATGGAACTTACGTGAAAGGCATGCCGTTTACAAGAGAAGATTGCTTCAATGCCCCTATAAGCAATGAAGACATAAAATCCTGTGTAACACACGAAAATGAAGCACTGCTACCTAATTTAGGGCCAGCGCAAGTATTCTCGTCCTTGGAGAAAATCAAGGACTATTCGACGCAAATAAAGAATAATTATCACATTAATAAGATCAATAACATCAACAGACCCTCACCAGAAGAGTCTGAATATTTCTATGATGATTATGTCGACTATCCCATTAACGATACTGTGATTGATGGGCTGAAAAATGAAGTTGACCTAATTCAAAATTCTAATAAAACGCAGATTACAGTAACTGTAAAACCTGTTATATCAGTGGCCATGAAAAATACGAGCAAGAATACTGCTATAAATAACGCACCCAGCAGTGGCTTTACCTTTTTTGGGATGCCTTTACCTGCCATTGATATGGGAAAAATACTAAACACCGGTCGCAAGGTAGATTGGCCTCCTACTGGTAAAAATGGCAATAAATATCAGTCTGAACCGCCAAAATTCGAAACAGGCGGATTCTCACCTATGCTTCCAACAACAGCAAGTGGTTTTAAACCTATTCCCAATCCTGCAGTCAATGTTACGCATGCACTCACAATGAGTCAAGGTGGCGGTAACTACAGCATCAAAGGGGGCGCGGGAGAAAGTATTGCAGTAGTTTCTACTAAACCACCTGTGAAAACAGTCCAAAGCAATGTAACTCATCAGAAAATGAAAAGCGAAATACATGAGCTCCAAGCGTATGTTGATGATGACAATAGCACACATGTTGCATACAATAGGACTAAAAATGTGGAGGAACAAAAAACTGATCCAAATAAAATGCAAAAATACAACATGATGGAATCTAATTTGACCATAACACAAGTGACAGAAAAAGATGGGATTCTTATTACAACAGATACAAGTCACGACATGTCACTACAGGCATGGATGGAGTCAAGCACAATGTCATATTCATCAACTCCAGTGACTTCCAAGCCTCCAATAAAAAAGCATGTGAATGAGAATCAACCGACAGCATTGTCGGCTGTTTTAATACCAAATAATGATGAACTTGCTAAAAGAAATTATTCAAGGCCGGCTACAATAACAAAAGTGAACATGCCGTTTGTGGAACATCATGATCTAAGAGACAGCTATTCACCTGTAATAAACAGAGAAGCAAAGACCAGGTTCAATGAGCATAGCAATATAGGGAACACAAAAACAAGACAGGCAGATGACAAGGATTGGTATTATAAGAACTATAATAATTCCAATTTAGAACCCTATGTTGCACCTGGGGTGCACACTTCTAACAGTAATATGATTTCATACAAAAATCCTGTAATACTTGTAGCAGTGCATACTATGTTACTGGTTTCTAAATTGATATAAGGACATAGATTATAGAGACTATTTGCAAACAATAACACTGTATTGTTTAAAAATTATAATGAGATTGTGTGATGATTACTAATAAAATTATAATGTAACAACAATGTAACTTTTATTTACACTTTTAGAGGGAAGATTCTTTACTAAAATGTATCCTTACTTTATCTAGAGCCTTAAATCTATGAGATATTTTGTTTTTCTCCTCACTAGGCAACTCGGCATATGTTTTAACATAACCATTTGGTTCAAACACACAGTCCCAACCAAAGCCTCTTGATCCCCTTGGTGCCACAATTGTTCCTTGCGTTTTTCCTTGGAATACAGTCACACTATAGTTTTCGGTACCACCAGGGCAATAGGCAAAAGTGCATACTGCCTCCGCAGACTTGTCTTCCCATCCAGTAAGTAATTTAACCAGACCTTCAGGCTGTAGTTTATCCAAGAACCATTTTATGTAGGGTCCTGGCAACCCATTCAGCGCGTTAAAGCACAAAGAAGTGTCTTCAATAAGCACAGGCTTCTTCAGTCTCCGCGCAGCCTCTTGACACTTTCGAATTGAAATTTCATCGATCTCGCCTTGAAGTTCTGGCAAGTCTAATTTATGGCTCACTAATTCAAACGGAAAATCAGTGCCCAATATTGCTTTCACTTCTTCTAACTTCTTGGCATTGCCGGTGACAAAAGTTATGGTTCTTTTCGCCATTTCTGTTAACCGTTGCTTCATTCGACAGAAAACAGAAAGTATGTATGTATTGACGTAGATTTTCTTGCTTTAGTTTCGTATGTCCATACTAATGCTCACGACCATTTAGTTCCACGATCGTAATTACAATGATAAGTTATTAGGTTAATAATTAAAATCAAAGAGAATTTAAGCACTACGTTCATTAAAATATGTGTTGATAAAAATCTACAAAAAAAAAACATATTTAATTCATTTTTTTTTCTTCTTAGGCAAAGGTTTTACACCATACAGCCACGTCTTGGTACATTATTCTTTTTTTGGTACATGAAGTTGAATTATGTTTCTGTAAATATGGCCGCCACAAAGAGGATAGGCAATTTGAGGCGGCGTGGTTGGATTGACTCGAGATTCCTTAGAACGGGCCGATACGGGTATTTTAGTTCGAGATTCGTATAATTTCGCGTTTTAATCTTCGATTAAGGCACTATCCTATTCCACTTTAAATTAGATTTCACAAAATAACTGAAAGTCAAAATAAAAACGACACTTTTCGCTCCAAAAGGTCCAGAGCACGTCCAGAGCGAATGGTATTTAATTCAATCAACTTCAAATAGTCGTTTTTTTAAAATTCTTTCGACTGGTTTATGAATTATAACTGTAATAGTAGTAATCTGTATTCTTTCCGTTAACGAAAAGGCAAAGGCTCAACACCATACAGCCAAATCTTGGTCACTTTTATATTTTATGGCAACAGAGTATTTTTGCCAACAATCAGGATTTTAAGGAAAAAAAAAATAGGAATATTCACAAAATTTAATAAAAGGGCTCGAGTTGCTAATTATTATTACAAACATAATAAAGTATGTATATACAATATTATAATTATTAATACAGAGATATTCATTCTTAGCATACTATATCAACTAAACCACAAAGCGAACCAGCGGACCTCACGAATTTTTTCTGTGCTTGTGGTCGTGTCTTTGTGTTTGGTTTTTAGTCGTAGCGCCATCTATGAGAAATCTGTGAAAGTTTTATCACCCACTTAGATACCTTTACAACTACCAGTCCTGGCGAGAGATGTCGCTATTCACTGTATTTTAAATTTTTATTGAATTGGTATTCAATTATTTTTTTGTCAAATTACTCCACTAGTTTGTTATAATTATTAATACAAAGATTGAACACTCAGAAAAAATTCCTTCGATATAGCCGGATTCGAATCGACGTCTTCTAGCATACCGTGCCAGACGCTATACCAACTAAGCCACAGAACGAAATTTTTTCTGAGTGTTCATTCATTGTATTAATAATTATAACAAACTAATGCAGTAATTTCACAAAAAATAATTGAATATCAATTCAATAAAAATTTATATACTAATTAATCATATTTTAATATAAATAACAAGTGTAAAGGAAAATAAAACATTATATATACCAGAAGGTATACATGGATATGATAGTAAATAGGACAAATGGGTAGGAATTGGAACTTTAAGGGAATTTAGGAAAGTAGAACGATCGTATCAGGGGCAGGAAAGAAATAAGTGATAGAGGACTCCTGTACCGTTGCCACATGCTCACTGGTCGTTGTTGAAAGTGAAATAATTTTTATATCATAGATAAGAAAATAACACTTGAAATCGTTACCTATATTGATTAAACTTTAGTGCTCACTCGTAAGCAGTGTTGCCTGACATTCGTGAAATTAATTCACCAATTTATGTATGTTAAGTAGCCGATATTCGCCCAAGCCATAAAATCCCTAAAAATCAAGAAAACCAATTTTACAATTCTGTTTGCTGCCGGACCTTGAGGAATTGGGGAAATAAGATAGCTCATATTCCCCACACGTCGAAATACCAAACCTCCAAATGAGTGATTTTACAACTCCATTCCCCACAAACTCTCCAATAAAATTTGTAATTCCGCAAACATTTTAAGTAGTCTAAAATCGCCTTTTCCTATTTCAAACATAGCCTAAACATCGCCGAGTCGTCGACACTTTTTTAGTCGCCGCGGGACCCGTCAAAGTATCCTAAATGGCGAAAAATCGCCTAATCTGGCAACAGTACTCGTAAGATCCCCTGAGAAGAATGAGCAAATATCTCTGGGGTTGCTCTTTGTAAATATACATTTGAATACATTTGTCATTTACAATATTTATTCTTAAACTATTCCTTTATTATTTTTCCGGATTTAAATCGCGTATATTTGTTTTTTCAAACAAACCGACGTTTCGGGCCCTTTACAGTAAACCTGTAAAGGTCCGGTTCGGGTCCGGTTCCGGTTAAATCCGGAAAAATAGTTTCATTTCCTATGTGTCAACAATCGCGAAAACCTAAGAACTCGATATATTTCTTTATTTTTTTCCATCCTCCAATATTTATTTCAAATATTTTATATCGAGAATACCTGCAAGAGCTAACGGGCCACTACCACAGATTTTTGTCATCCAAGTACGTAAAATTGTATAATATAACCTTTGGAATAAAATTTTTGTTTCACTATAGTTTTAATCTAAAACTAATATCACCCGGAATCTTATCAAAGAAACGTATATACATTATTGCCCCATAAATGAATTTATGACTTTGTGAAGACGACTGTCAAGAACAGCTAGTTTACTTTTATTCCTCGTATTAATGTTGTCTGTCACTAGTTTTCATAAAAGAATTACCTAGTGTACAAGACAATAATTACTTATGTAATCTAGCCAGGTGGGCAAGAGTGTACACAGTTGAGTATAGATCATAACTGTTAGTAATAGACGGCTCAGAACTGTTGGCGGTGTGATTAATCCATGAAAGAATTATCTGTAGAAGAGGAACGGACTGTAAATGTGAAAGAGTTGTAAGCTAATATTACGCCACACTTCAGACGGGCATATGTTTGCGGAAAGAGATACACAAAAAGACATCCACCCATTCTTTTCTTTTTGTGGAATTTTATACCTTAATCTCTTTTTGACGATACAATACCGGACAAGTTTTGTTTATAGCATAATGACACCCTGAACACATCACACACAATGCACAGTTTTCCCTCAACATTACAGTTTTCGCCTCTATGTTCGTAAGCACACTTATACGATAGCACTTAGGACGATAGCGACTTAGAAGTTTTTTATGACCATATCGGCAATAATAGAATATTGGATATCTATCTAGTTGGACAAGTATACAGTTCTGCTGCCATAGCACTAATAGCATATGCAGTATTCATTTATGACGCACTTGGCCATCGAATTGTAAAGGCTTCCAAACAGTCGACCCATTCACCGATGATCATTTACACCGAAATTTTTGGAAAAACTACAATATAAATAATGGTCATTTGAAAATGGCATTAGAAAGAGAAAAAAGGGATCCGGCAAAGAAATGTGATGTATTAATTTAATGGCTTGATATACGTATAAGGCAATCGTTATTATTACACGACATTTTAATTTTTATTAGCGATGAGCCGAATCGAGATTTTAACAAATACGAATAGTCGACCGAATGTTCGGTAAAAAGTCTACTAAATCGAATATTACACCTAAATTCGGCAGGATTTTAATGTCGAGGGTGTGAACATCCACCATGTCAAATAATTTTAGATAATTTTAGATAAGTACTTATTATTTTCCAAGAAATTTGATTTGTCTTTTTTCAACGACTGATTTATTTTAAACCTTACTAAAATAAATTAGCACTTTATGGTCAATACCACTTTTATTCCTTCAATTCTCTTGAACGTAATAGAATAGAAATATCCATATTAAAGTAACTTCGTACAATATTTCGTGGGCTGTATTTAGCAAGATAAATCAACGATAAATATCTATGTATAAAATAAATTAATTACTTTTTAATAAAAGTTATATGACAAGTTACAGTTACCGAATATACACTTGCCGAACGTGCCGAATGTACGCTAATACATAGATATCGTTGCCGAATACCGAATAATAATAATAATGAAATGAATATTCGGCCCAACTACTAGATAAATAGGTGAGTGTACATAGAAGAGTCGTAGGATGATACTAATAAACCTTAGAATAATAACGCATAGAAACCTAGCCCGCACACGTTAAGTGAGGCAAATGTAGGACGCCCTATGGGCTTACACGAGCGAGCGGGCTGTCAGTGCTCAAGGTCAAGTTGCACCGCGAGGAGCTCAAAAATTTTTGCTAAAAATGACGAATTGTGCGGTAATTGGGCTTAAAAATAGATCAGACAAATATAAAATAGACACTAACACCACATCCCACAAGGAAATAACGCGTTTCAACTTGTATTTTTATTATTATAGACGTTTTCGAGGAGTTTTAGAGTGCTTATTACGAATGTAGCATTAATTTCTGAATCCAAGATGGTTGACAACAAATTTCAAAAATGTGTTTTTGGTAAACCATAAGGGAATGGCATGTATATCTGAATACAAGATGGAGGACAAGACTTCTAATTCTTCTTCTTCTAATTCTTTGCCATCTCGGATTTAGAAATATGTGCTATATTCGGAATCAGCAGCCCCTAATACCTTGAAAACGACACCCAACTTGCCATTATTCGAAAAATCGTGCCCGCCATCTTGGATTTAGAAATTAGTGCCATGTTCTTAATGAGCACCCCCAAATACCTCGAAAACGACACCCAACTTGCTATTATTTGAAAAGTCATGTCTGCCATCTTGGATTTAGATATAAGTGCTATATTCCTAATGAGCACCCCCAAATACCTCGAAAACGATCCCCAACTTGCCATTATATGAAAATCGTGCCCGCCATCTTGGATTTAGAAATGAGTGCCATATTCGTAATGAGCACCCTCGAATACCTCGAAAATGATACCCATATTGCATTTATTTCAAAAGTCGTGTCCGCCATCTTGGATTTAGAAATAAATGCCATATTCGTAATGAGCACCTCGAATACCTCGAAAACGATTCACATATTGCATTTATTTGAAAAGACGTGTCCGCCATCTTGGATTTAGAAATGAGAAAAGTCCTGTCCGCCTTCGTGTATTCAGATATAAATGCCATTTCTATAAGGATTACAAAAAAAAATTTTTTAAAATTCCTGTCACTTGACGTTGTCGATCAACAGTAACGATCGACAAAATGGAGCATATCAGTAGGCACCTGATCGACAAAATCGAGCAAATTTGTAAGCACCTCTAACTTAACGATGAGTTAAGCAAGATACAATTTCCCCACTTTTGAGGGAAATGTTATTCCATGGCATCATTATTTGTATATTTGTGTGCGTGCCGACGAGCGTAAATACAAGTTGCTTACGCTTACATGAATTTGATTTTTGCCTCACTTGTGACAGTTCGTTTTTTATGAAACTATCATTCTATGCGTTATTATTTTAAGTAATAAACGATAAATGGAGGTGGGAAGTACACATGGGACTGGGTGAGATTTTATAAAAGTAAGAAGCGATTTAATGTAATGCAATTAATTAGATAGATGTATGTGTGTGTGCGTGTGTGTGTGTGAGAGAGAGAGAGAGAGAGAGATAGAGAGAGAGAGAGGGAGCGAGAGAGAGAGGGAGAGAGAGAGAGAGAGATCCAATAGTACGACGAAACGACGTGACCTAATCCCGACCATTAATCCCTAATACGAGCAAAATTTTCTAGCATATAGATATCATTGTATACGAGTAGCATCATTGAAAAGTTTGACGCCCGTATTCGTTATCTAAAATACTGGGACAAGATATGTCCCAGAAAAAGGGAGTGATAATGGTTACATGTAGCAACAAATAGGGTATTTCTTCGAGCGGGCGAAAGAGGGTACACAGATACGCGTGTTCATAAAGTCCGCGTGGTCCGCGGCTAGTCAATCCGTGAACACGTGTTGTAAGTATTTTTTTTTTAATAATTTATTTCTGGCCATGGAAACAAAGTCTTTCAACCGAAAACATAAAAATAAGTTTTTCTGTAAATATGGCCGCCACAAAGAGGATAGGCAATTTGAGGCGGCGTGCTTGGATTGACTCGGGATTCCTTAGAACGGGATACGGGTATTTTAGTTCGAGATTCGTACAATTTCGCGTTTTAATCTTCGATTAAGGCACAATAGCACTATCCTATTCCACTTTAAACTAGATTTCACAAAATAATTGAAAGTCAAAAACGACACTTTTCCCTCCAAAAGGTCCAGAGCGAATCCTGTTGTAAGTAATGTTCTCTGGTGTGACCATTTACAAATAATATCGGAAAAATAATTGGAAGTCATACCGTGGTAAGAAACGTAGTATAGCTAGTGATAATCATTTAGTAAAAAAACGCGAGTTTTGAAACATATTACTACATAAATAGACATCGTAGACTTTTGTGTTTTTCTGTCTCAGCACCCTAATATAATCAGATGAATTGATTCTGAAATCGATATCCTGATATAACAACCAAATATCCTATTTTATTCAGTGTTTACATCAAATTTTCGTGTTTTTAGCCTTTGTAGTTCGATTGCACGTTTATATCACTGACATCTTTCTCTAAATAGATTTTAAAAATGTTGTCATTTAAACCGAAAAATTTTTAAAATATCCCCACTTCCCGATATGCCTACTGACACTGTAGTTGAGCATAAGCATCCACAAATTTCTATCTCTAATCAAATGAAATCTAAGAATTTACCTTTCGATACACTCAGCGGTGCAAATTATATCAACATAACATGTTAGATCGCTTTATAATTTAGCACAAATTATCGAGCTAAATTACAGATTACGTCATATTAATGACAAAAAATAAAAAATGAGTACATTGTGTGAAGATAATTATATATAAATTACTATAACAATCAAAGATCCATTTGGGAAAAACGTGCTTTTAACTTCATCAAAGCTTTAAATCTTTGAGATATTCTATTTTTTTCTTCTATTTCAAGCTCAGCATAAGTTTTATTGTATCCGTTAGGTTGAAAAACGCAGTCCCAGCAAGTTTCCCAACCGTGATAATTTTGGACTTTAGGATTAACAATCGTCCCTTGAGTTCTTCCTTGAAATATTTCTACTTTTGAATCTTCGCAGTCACCTTTACAAAATCCAAACGTTGAGATTGCTTCAGCCGACTTGTCGTCCCATCCTGCAAGAAGCCTTACGAGACCTTCGGGTTGCAATTTTTTTATGAACCATTTAATATAGGGACCCGGGAGACCTTCCAATGCATTGAAACATAAAGATGTATCTTCTACGAGAACTGGTAACCTTAGTCGCCGAGCAGCTTCCTGGCACTTTTTTACTATAATGTCTTCTATTTCACCTTGAAGTTCGGGCAAGTCCAAATTGTAACTAACTATTTCTACTGGCGAATTAGGACCGAGTATGGCTTGGACTTCTTTTAGCTTCATCTTATTACCAGTGACGAAAGTCAATTTTGGCTTGAGTGTTTTTGTAAAATATACATACATTAGGTTTACGTACGTAATAAAACGTAAGTCACGTCTTAAAGATGAGTAATGAAGCATCAGAAAACAGTGAGAGGAGCAAGATGCTCTCTAAACAAAGTTGCTCTATTTAAGGGTTACCTGTCAAAAGCTAGAAACATAATGTACAGAATTTTTGTTTCTCCGAATACCATTGACTTACAGAATACCTTTAGATTTTTATTGAATACATTTTGTTTCATTTGTCCGAAAACACGTTACGGTTTTTTTATTACACCATTGAACAGTGAAACATTAAATCACTGTTTTGACATATTGACATGTTATTCTTTTCCCGATTTTTATTTTCCCAACTAATCGTTTGACCAATGTATATAATTGAATATTTTTATTTTGTAAAAAAACGATATCCATGATACATTTTTGTTATATTATTTCTTACAGCTTCCCTCTCTCGGCTCGTGCGGCTTTTTCATATACTAACCTAACCTAAACCTACAGGAGGGGGTCGTACCGACTGGGTAATCCAAATTCGGCTCTGGCACTCGCCGGTCGCTACCGCAACACGCTCGCTACGCTCGCTCGGCTCGTGCGGCCTTTTCATATTCTAACCTAACCTAAACCCACAGGCGGGTTCCGACCTAGCTAGGAAATTCAAACAAACTCGGTTCTGGTACTCTCCTCGATTCAGGTATAAGTTATTTATTGAATACTCAAGACCAGTTTTTAAATTACATTTCAGATAACAGCAAAAACATAGCACAATGGTATGACGAAAATTTAACTTACGTAAAGTGAAACTTGCTGTGCACCAGCAAAGTATAGTCCAGAATTTTGGAGCTGTACGGTAAAATTGTATGGCGGTGCAATTTTATCTAAGAATAATAATTTTGTCGAAACGAATTTTCATCAATCTAAATTATATGGAAAACAGACAGTATAACAAACATGATTAGATCAAACAAACTTCTGCCCAAAGAATACGTTTAGGTAATAACTATTCTAATAATAGGTTTTCGGACAAACGATATATCTGCTGTAAGATTATTCTGTGTTGCAAATTTATACCAAAACTGTCATCGCACTAATGAAAAAAAGTCGAACCGTTTTCGGAGTAATGAAATGAGTTTGTGATAGGTTACCCTATTTAGGAACAAACTAAATCTTTTCCAGTATTACTTATGATGTTCGGTATTTAATATTATTTGAAATAAGGATGATTTGGCGTATATGTATTTTAGACAAATTTACTCTATTTTGTCCCGTGCCGCTAGTGATATTATATCTCTGCGATCACATAGAAACCAAATTGTAAATGTAGCGCGAGGAATGCGCACAGATAGGTATGTAGAGGTGCAGTGTCTTGCTGATCGGATTCAACGTTGACTATCTCATGTACGTGTTAATGGTAAACTATACAAGGGTTGAACTGAAGTAAAGCCGAATTAAGCAAGCAGACCATACTCAGCTACATTGCAGTTCTGCCTAAAGACATATCAAAATCTAACCTTTTAAATTGTGAATTAAGTGCACCTTGCTCCAATCACATGCTTCTATTACCTTTTTTGAATCGTATTCAATTCTTTTGGAATGAAGAAAAAGCATGGGTAATAAAGTAAATTTAGATGAAGTATGAAATAATCCCATCCCCAACTGTAATTGCAAACAGTACGTAAATATCTAGTGCTAAAAACCTTAGACTATGGAAACCAAAGGACATGTTATATTGACATATATAAATCAGACATTATATGTGTATGACGCATTTAGACGGTGAAAACATAAACATTTTATTGTCTTTGTTTAACTACTGCGTGCCATCGTAAGCCAAAAGAGATAGCACTATATTGATTTATGTCAAACACGGGAATCGAAAATACGTAACGTTATCTTAAATGCCAACTGTCCTCATTTTACCATTTTTGGAGTACCCTTTGACATCCGTATCCGGTTGTCAAAGGGAAGTACATCAAATGTCAAAATCAATGTTTGGCCAAATGTTTTAGTGAATTATCCGCATGAATTGTAATGAAATGTACAAAAATATAGACAGTGAGAACAAGTTATTATTGATAAAAATGCGTCACTGCAGCATTAAGAGGTGCGGCAGTAGAAAAAGCGGAAATCAACCGAATGTTACATTACACATGTGTCATTTTTCGGCCTTTAAAATATAAATAAACGAAACTATAATAAAATTTCATTAAACTTTTATTGATCATACTTTGATTATAGTAAACTATACAAACTACAAACAGAAAAATCAGTTTCAACATTCAAGCTATACATTTAAATGTCGATATTGACTTAAGATTATAGTTATGGCTTAGAATAATAACGCATAGAATGATAGTTTCATAAAAAACGAACTGTCACAAGTGAGGCAAAAATCAAATTCATGTAAGCGTAAGCAACTTGTATTTACGCTCGTCGGCACGCACACAAATATACAAATAATGATGCCATGGAATAACATTTCCCTCAAAAGTGGGGAAATTGTATCTTGCTTAACTCATCGTTAAGTTAGAGGTGCCTATAGATTTGCTCGATTTTGTCAATCGTTACTGTTGATCGACAACGTCAAGTGACAGGAATTTTCAAAAATTTTTTTTTGATAATCCTTATGGAAATGGCATTTATATCTGAATACACGAAGGCGGACACGACTTTTCTCATTTCTAAATCCAAGATGGCGGACACGTCTTTTCGAATAAATGCAATATGTGAATCGTTTTCGAGGTATTCGAGGTGCTCATCACGAATATGGCATTTATTTCTAAATCCAAGATGGCGAGCACGATTTTTCATATAATGGCAAGTTGGGGATCGTTTTCGAGGTATTTGGGGGTGCTCATTAGGAATATACCACTTATTTCTAAATAAAAAAAGATGGCGGACATGACTTTTCAAATAATAGCAAGTTGGGTGTCGTTTTCGAGGTATTTGGGGGTGCTCATTAAGAACATGGCACTAATTTCTAAATCCAAGATGGCGTGCACGATTTTTCGAATAATGGCAAGTTGGGTGTCGTTTTTAAGGTATTAGGGGCTGCTCATTCCGAATATAGCATATGTGCTATATTCGGAATATATTTAGAAATATGTTTCTAAATCCAAGATGGCAAAGAATTAGAAGAAGAAAAATTAGAAGTCTTGTCCTCTATCTTGTATTCAGATATGCATGCCATTTTCTTATGGTTTACCAAAAATACATTTTTGAAAATTGTTGTCAACCATCTTGGATTTAGAAATTAATGCTACATTCGTACTAAGCACTCCAAAACTCCTCGAAAACGTCTATAATTCTCAATCGTTACTGTCGATCGACAATGTCGAGCAAATCTGTAGGCACCTTATTAAATACTACCCAATTCTTATTTAACTCATATATGAACTAAAACCTACAAGCGAGTTTAAGTGCGACTATCGAATTTGAATATATAAATAGCATGATATTATCTGTGCGTATGTTTACATGAAAAGTACACGATAACAATTAAGAACCTGAACCTGAAAGTTATTTTATTTTAAGTTATTTATACACGAGTTTGGAGACCTGACGATGACTTTTTAGACAGTGTTAGTTTCCTGAAATAATTTTAGTTAAGAACTGTTGAGTCTGGGCAAGACAATTTTTTTAAATGAGTGTATTTTTCACATGAAACTAATGAAGGCAAATACTAAATATATTTCGTAAAAATAGCTAACGTAAATTCTCTACAATGTTGTTGCGGCGGTGTACATTTGTAGAAATTTTGCAACTGTCGCGATATTGCCTATTCTCAAAAAAATACGTAATATAATTATTTTGAAACAGAATAGCAAAATGGGGAAAAAAAACCCGTTACTTTGCAACATTTTCGTATCTTGTTGCAACGAAATTAATTTTCTGTTTTAGTGAATATTTACATAAAAGTACAAGTTGAAACGCGTTACTTCCTTGTGGGATGTGGTGTTAGTGTCTATTTTATATTTGTCTGATCTATTTTTAAACCCAATTACATTTCGTCATTTTTAGCAAAAATTTTTGAGCTGCTCGCGGTGCAACTTGACCTTGAGCACTGACAGCCCGCTCGCTCGTGTAAGCCCATAGGGCGTCCTACAATTTGCCTCACTTAGCGTGTGCGGGCTAGGTTTCTATGCGTTATTATTCTAAGGGTTATGGTATGTACAACACTAAAGAAATCCGCCATTTGTGTGGTAGAATTTTGGTTTAGGTAGGTACGTTTATTCCGTAGATAGGCCAACTCCTTTCCTTTATTTTATCTATCCTCTAAGCCCGCCATTATTTTTTTATAAAAATATTAATGAGAAATATATAATAGTTATAATTATTATTACAAAGATCGAACACTCAGAAAAACTTCCTTCGATCCGGTCGGTCCGTTTTTTGTGAGTGTTCGATCTTTGTATTAATAATTATAACAAACTAGTGGAGTAATTTCACAAAAAATCAATGAATATCAATTCAATAAAAATTTAATTAATACAGTGAATAGCGACATCTCTCGCCAGGACTGGTAGCTGTAAAGGTACTAACTGGGTGATAAATCTTTCATAGATTTCTCATAGATAGCGCTACGACTAAAAGTCCTTGAAAAACCAAATACATAGTCACGACGCAAGCAGATATAAAAATTCGTGAGGTCCGTTTGTACGTTCCGTTGCTTAGTTGGTATAGCGTCTGGCACGGTATGCAAGAAGACGTCGGTTCGAATCCGATCGGATCGAAGGAATTTTTTCTGCGTGTTCGATCTTTGTATTAATAATTATAACAAACTAGTGGAGTAATTTCACAAAAAATCATTGAATATCAATTCAATACAAAATTTAATTTATATAATAGTTTTTATTTATTTTTGTGACTTTGTCTAACAATGCTTACATCCACACATGTGAGACGTCAAAATGGAATTGCCGTGTTGCTAGCTAAAGAGGTTCGAGGGAGTTTTAATTTGGTTTTAATCTTGTTTTAACAGTTTTCGGTCAATGATCATCTTCAGTCTAATTTGATTGTCAGTTTTCCAAGGCGCATTAACTGACCGTGGTCCTTTTTATTTTTTTCCATCCTCTAAGCCATGGACAGACGCAACAATATTGTGTGTTTATCAATGACTTTTATTTATAATTAGTTGAGGAATTAACGGAAAGCTACTGTGAAAGCGCTGTTTGTTGCATAATACATTTCATTTTGCTTCGGCCCAAGGGTCTTGCCCCAACTGTATGGAGCGTAAAGAGGTCTTTGGTGTCTTGGTTTTTTTTACTTAAATAGGCTTGCGTTTAACCACGGTCGCACCTTGTGGTAAGTCTAGAATATGTTTACTGCAAAATATTGTGAACTTTGAACGTCACGAAACAAAATAAATAAACGTAATAATCCGACAATTGCTTTCAGAAATTTCCCCGTTTAAACAAAAAAAATTATATAGATTTTAAGACTTTCGTGGTTATTCACTGAATGATTATCACTAGTATCAGGATTCTTACCACGGTATGACTTCTTTTTATTTTCCCGATATTTCGGAACGGTTGCACGCTCCATGGTCACGGGTTGACTCAACCCGTGACCATGGAGCGTGCAACCTTGGTAAGAAACCTGATACTAGTGATAATCATTTAAAAAAATTTATGTTTCTTAGGTACGATTATTAGTAGATAATTTTTATATTATTTATTTATTATATTTATTTTTACAAAAAATCTACTTAGCTTACTTCACTAGCGAAATTTCAAAAGGGTACCGACAGCCAGTGTTCTCAGACTTTTGGGAAGTTAATTCGCTATGTGTGAAGTAGCCGATAATCGCCATGTTAAACGGCTGAAACGCTAACCTCGAAAAGCCAAGAAAAAATATTTCGTTCGGATACATGTCAATATGAATGAGTAACCATAAACAAATAAACTTTAAAATTAATAAGTAAATAAAAATCATGTTGTCGTAAACGCTTTGAGCAGAGATAGATAGAGACATATTTATATGAACGTCTTATCGTGATCCTGGTCTTTCGGATTGTTTATAGGAGAAAAATTAACGCATTTTCACATAACTAAGCCATAGTGACAAAATGACTGTCAAATTTTAATTTAGATTTCGATTTGATTAGCGAATTTGGCATCATTCTTGTAGTTTTCATTGTTGCGGTGTTATAAATATTGGCAAATCTTCCTGGACTAAAGAGTAACAATTGTGTAGAAGTAACCATTATTTAACAGTACAAGATGCCTAGTTCAGAAGTAGTTACCACAAAAGTGGTGGTCCACCCCTTAGTTTTGCTGAGTGTTGTGGATCATTTTAACCGGATGGGCAAAATTGGTAATCAGAAAAGAGTCGTCGGTGTCTTACTCGGCTGCTGGAGAGCAAAGGGGGTCTTGGACGTGTCGAACAGTTTTGCAGGTGAGTTCCCGTTATTCTCTATTACTATCCCGTTTGTATTGGAATTGCGTCTTGGTTGCTTTTCGCCATAATCTCCGTATATTATAAAAGATCCCTTTTAATTACAATTGTACAACGCAAAGACAATCTTTTCTAAATTATGCGCTTCTTTGATTACAGTTCCATTTGATGAAGATGACAAAGACAAAAGTGTATGGTTCCTTGATCATGATTACTTAGAGAACATGTATGGTATGTTTAAGAAGGTAAATGCCCGAGAGAAGGTAGTGGGCTGGTACCATACTGGACCTAAACTACACCAGAATGATGTGGCTATTAATGAGCTCATCAGACGCTATTGCCCTAATTCTGTTCTTGTCATTATTGATGCAAAGCCAAAGGACTTGGGCCTGCCTACTGAGGCATACCAAGCTGTAGAAGAAGTGCATGATGATGGTAGTCCTACCACTAGAACCTTTGAGCATGTGCCTAGTGAGATTGGAGCAGAAGAAGCAGAAGAGGTTGGAGTGGAACATCTTCTTAGAGATATCAAAGACACAACAGTTGGCAGCCTTTCACAGCGCATCACAAATCAACTTCTCGGTCTACGCGGCCTCCACTCTCAGCTCAGTGAAATTAGAGATTATCTTGTTCAAGTCGGCCAGGGTTCTCTTCCAATGAACCACCAGATCATCTATCAGCTCCAGGATATTTTCAACCTCTTGCCTGATATTGCTAATGACAATTTTGTTGATAATCTGTACATTAAAACCAATGATCAATCTCTGGTGGTGTATCTAGCTGCCCTTGTCAGGTCTATTATAGCTTTACATAATCTTATTAACAATAAGATCACCAATAGAGATGCGGAAGAAGGCAAAAAAGATGATGCAAAGGAAAAAAAAGAAAAGAAGGATGAAAAAGATGACAAGAAAACAGAAGACAAAGTGAAAGCAGAGAAAAAAGAAAAAGAAGAAAAAAAGAAGTAAATTACAATCATCATTAGATTAAGTTGTTTGTAATGCTGAATTATCTAAAAATAAATTGTATTTACTAACTTCATAATATTGTTATAATTTGCTGGAAATTAAGATTTTAATGTTTTATTACGTCACTGTTGTGTTAATGTGTTTGCAATGTTTATGCAGGACCACCCGGTTTCAGATGCCCAGGACATTATTCAAAATGGAAATATTGGATCATGGAAAAAAAATATTTTTCAATCTATATTTTCACTTTTTTGTGAAAAATATTTTCGAAAATTTCCACCAAAAAATTTTATTGATAATTGTCCAATACTACACTCGCGAGCAACCAAACCGACTCAATGTCTAAGCGCGCATTCAGAGTAGGTTTTATCAAAAAGTTTACAACCGAATTATAAAAACGTTATATGTTTAAAATGCTTGAAACTTCAGTTTTAAAAATGTACCATTAGCATCAATATCGATTCAGTAGTTTAAAACAAATAAAATAAAATAGGCAGTACAGGGAAATTTACTCGCGGTACCCAGTACCAGTTGGGCGACCAACTAACCCTATAAAACCTCCCGGCACGCGGCTTATGCCTACAGCCGCTTTCCAGAAGTTGACCTGAACGCATCCGTGAATCGCCATCACTATTTTGACAAAACCATGGATACAACACCGGAAGAAGCCGTTCAAGTTGTTGCTCTTTTGCAAACAGGGACTTAGGCAGCGATCTGTCGCTGCTCCACTGCACCTAAGCCAATCTGCTGTATCAAGGGTATACAGAAGATTTCTAGAGACTGGTGTATTCGACCGGAGGCCGAGAACCAGCCGTCACAGGTGCACAACTCAAATCGACGATCGGTTCATAGTCTCTACATCTCAACGAAATCGCCACCTGACTGGTGTCGACGTACAGCAAGAGCTAAGACGTGTTCGAGGAGTGGCTGTAAGCGAGTGGACAGTTCGAAGACGCCTGAGGGAAGGCAACTTTACACCAAAACGTCCTGCAACTGGTCCGAAATTGACGACAAGCCATCGACAAGCGCGCCTGCAATTTGCTAGAGAGCACCTCAATTGGAACCACGAGCAATGGCGGGCTGTCTTGTTTACTGACGAGTGCAGAATGTGTCTGCATGGCAGTGATAGAAGAGGTCGGGTGTATAGGCGCCCAGGTGAACGATTTTCGCAGTGCTGTTTCGCTGAAACTGTTGCATATGGCGGCGGCTCTTGTATGATGTGGGCTGGAATTTCTTTAGACGAGAAAACCGAACTCGTTTTCGTGGCTGGGGGGACCGAGGAGGAGGATTGACAGCCGATCGGTATATTACCGATATGCTCCTAGAACATGTTGTTCCGTACGCGGGGTTTGTCGGCGATAACTTCTTATTGATGCACGATAATGCCCGGTGTCACATTTCGCGTATAACTAAGCGGTTTCTGGAAGAAGTCCGTATACAGACCATGGACTGGCCAGCGCTTAGTCCAGACATGAATCCCATCAAACATTTATGGGACGAGCTCAAACGAAGGGTCCGAGCCAGAAATTATCTATTATATATTACCTTCAAATATCAATGAGCTCAAGACGGCGTTGTTAGAGGAATGGGACGGAATTCCTCAAGAAGTTATTAAAAAGTTAATAAGGTCAATGAAAAATCGACTACAAGCTGTTACTAGGGCTAGAGGGGGTAACACCAAATATTAATTAAATAAATTTATTATTATTATTTTACTTTTTTTTGTTTTAATTTAAATAACAATCTCCATAAATTATTTTTCTAAATTCCTATTTTCCCTAATTGTTAACTCTATTACCATTATTTCAAAAACCACGCAATCGATTTTTATGCTAATGAGACCATCTTAAAGCTAAAGTTTCAGGCTATCAGAAAATAAGACATTTTTATTAATTGACTGGGTAGTTTTTGATAAAAACTACTTTATATGCAGGTGTAGGGTCTGAGTCGGTTTGGTTGCTCGCGAGTGTATATACAAAGGATATTGACGAGATAGATTTATTTTAGATTTTAAGATCCGTCCAGATATCTATAATATATATACGCCCACTGCTGTGCATGTAACTTCTTTATGGTGCGGGTTTAATCTTAATTGTTCAACCTAGACATGTTTATTTTCATATACATTAGACTTAATTTATCAAACTACATATATCTACTGTTGCGCAAGGGATTGCTAGTTTGATACATTAAAAGCTAAATTACTCTCAAATTGGTTACCATTTTTTGCCAAAAAAAACGGCGAGAATAGAATAGTGCAAGAAAATTGCGAAACATGATCTGGAATCCTAAAAAATTTAAATGCGAATGTATCCAATCCAAGTGTCCGCTGAAAATCAGCGTTACAGTCTTTTTTCAGCTATGACATTAGCTGAGTGGATCCTTTTACATGCGCCACAATGATATTTAATATCAATATAAATTATTGTGTTGAATTTGGGCCGAGTACTGCATACGTGAGTTAACCCACAAACCGACTGTTTTGAGATATTGAGTGTTAAAGATTTTTTGTCATTCATTATCTTAATAATAAAAATTTGGAGGACAATTATATATCAAAGGATTTGTAATGAAGTAAACATTACGATTAGTTTATTATTTTTTTAAGTTATCAAACTTACGATTAGTAATTAATTAACTGCCTCCGTAACTGTGGCCGAACGGTTACCATGCCGGACTGCCACGCAGAGGTCCCAGGACCCCGATTCAGGGGGTCTACTCTCGGAGACGGAGATCGAGAGTAGACCCTCAGAATTCGATATTTTAACCGAATCGTTCGAATTGGATATCGTCCTCGAATCGAAGGGTACTTTCCGAGCCATTCAGAGCATTCTAGTTAAACGTTCGATTCGGATTCGGGTACGATATCATCATCCAACAGCGTTTAGCGAAATAGATTATAAGAAAAATGAAAATCCTTTTATATACGTTTTTAAGGCTTTATAGGCCTAAAATATATGAATGCATTAGGCTTGCATTAAAATAACTTAACTTGAACAAAAACCAGACTTTTTTAAAATAATAAGAGATTTCCATAAAAAAACTTTCTTGTAAACATAAGACTTTCGGTAACTTTCATTCTATAACTGTGTTCTGAAAACGTTTGTAGCCTTTGCCTGTTGAGAAGTTCGAGTAATCGTACGGGTGTGACGTCATTTCGGTACGGTTTCGAGTACGACAGTTTGACGTTCGATTCTGGTGTTGTGAATAAAAACGAAAAGAAATCGTATGATATCAAATCCAATTAGTCGACAAATGAGTTATCGTAAGGTTCTGAATCGACCCCCAGGCCCCAGATTCAGAACTCTTCGATATTTTACCCGAATCGTTCGATTGGATATCGTTCTCGAATCGAATGGCGCTTTCTGAGCTATTCAGTAACATTCCAAGGTAACGATATCATTATCCATCAGCGTTTACGGAGTTTGTCGGTGAAATAGATTATAAGAAAAATGAAAATCCTTTTATACACATTTGTGTATAACAAAAAGTCTTGAAAATGTTTGGTATACACAAATGTGTAATAACATTTTTAAGACTTTAAAGGCCTAAAATAATGGAATGCCTTAGTCTTCTTGCATTAAAATAAATTAATAAAAATCCAGACTTTATTTAAATAATAAGAGATTTCCAAATTACATTCTTGCTTTGTAAACAATAGGACGTTCGGTAACTTTCAATCGATAACTGTGTTGTGAATAATGTTTGTGACCTTTGCCGGTCGAGAAGTTCGAGTAATCGTACGGGTGTGACGTCATTTCACGCACGGCACGGTTTTGAATACGACAGTTTGACGTTCGATTCGTGTGTTTTGAATGAAAATGAAAAGAAATCGTACGATATCAAAACGAATCGGTCGACAACTATCGTAAGGCTCTGAATTGACCTACAGGTTCGATTCCCGGGCCGGGAGAAATATTTGTATGCCCTACATTTGTTTCATCTTGTGACTTTAGGTGTCATTTTGTGGTTGTCTATGTGTGTGTTCATGGCAACCGCGACACAGGGTTTCCCTAGTGCGGTTATGTTGAGTGTGTGCGTTATTATTTTATTTTTTAAATGAAAATGGTTTATGCAAAATTCGATATATCAACAAAATTATTGCTTTATCTGTCAAGGGTGGCTAACACATTTTTACAATATACGAAAAAGTACGTATGAAGTGTCACTCACATTCTGAGAAATCATATTTTTTATCAAATGTATTAAACCAAGCAACAGCAATTTTTATTTTTGTCAGTCATGTGTTTTGTGTTCAATAATGAATAGCCATTCTTCTTTGACCAGTAGGTAAATCTTAATAATCCGAATAAACAGATTCTGAGTTCAAACTCTACTTTTATAAAACGATTGTGCACGTGCTCAATCGGGGGTGTACGAAAGGAGCCTCCTTGCACGACGTAGGTACTATTCCTTACTTGTACGAGAACCTAGGTACGTTTGGCGCAACCTGGGCAACAATCGGCGAGTACCTTACGCCCGCTCATTGGCAATCATTTCACCACGATTAGAAGCATTATAGTGTGCTTTAGTTTCCCAAAGTGGTCCCTTGGAAGCAATTGGCAACATCCGTTGATATTGTCCAAGGGGAGCTACCGCAGAAAAAAAACCTGAATGATCTATACAAACTACACTACATATCGCACTTGACAACTAACATAGTATTATCTCAAAAATTGTGTTATATTATATTTTATCTCAAAATTGCGTTATATTAATAATTTATCTCCAAAATTTCGCTATATTTGTATGTCATTCGTATACGATTTAATTTCAAAATGACAGGACAACACTGTCGCTTTGAAATTAAATAGGTAATATTAATATAACCTAGAGCAATTTTGAGATAATACTATGTTAGTTGTCATGTGCGATATCCTTATATAATTTCTTTTTCCTCATGTTTTTTTTTGTGTTAAGGTAATATAAAAAATGCGTGTTTCCAATTATTTTTGTGATGGTGGGCGTTGAAATACCAAACATTTTAATAGCAAAACATAATCACTATACATATCTTAAATTAATAAGTAAGTATCATATATTATTTAGGTGAGCGTATACATACATTCAATTCAACAACGCCTGTCTCCCGCTGGGTTAGGCAGAGATCATAAACCTCCACTCATTACGCTCCTGACAAAACCACTTTCACCTCCTTCAATCGCATCATTTTCGTGCCTTATTTTTCTTTGTACCTTTAACCAGGATTTTTGAAAGACATCCCCAATTTGATCCAGATAATATGTGCATCGACGTCTACCTCTTACCACGTTTAAATTTACTAATATCATCCTTTCTACATGACCACATAATCTTTCATTACACGACGCTCTCTTATTACTCTGTTCGGCATTCTGTCTTCAAGACTAATAGGATACCTTCAAAATAGACGCTTAAAGCGCTGAGGCGCTTGTGGCGCGACTGTCTGTTTCTGATGTCGCTCCACTATGTATTAATTTTCATTTCAATATCTAGACTAAAAAATGCCGCGCGTATGTATCGACAGTGCAATGGCGTTGCAGCTGCGTTTCTAAATATTGTATGAAAATTTACGAGGGCGCGGCTGCAGCGTGACAGTGACGCCAGTGTAACGCTCCTACAAGCGTCTAATTTGAAGGCGCATCAACAGAGCACATACTACACAAAGCTCTCATGCCAACAGCATTTACACGGCCGTTTCCTCATGCTCCTACTGGGTGCTCCTACTGGTAGGAGCACGAGGACTAATGTGTCCTTACGCTCCTATCGTGACGTCGTATCTAATAAGTATACCTACACTCTTTTATGTTTCCTCTGTCACACCCAATACTCGCTACCGTACATCAGGGTTGAAACCCGCACTAGACACGTTCCAGCTCCCAAAAAGGCATAAATCTATTTACTTGATTTCGCCTAAGTATTATTTTCCGTTCAATGTCTCTTCAAACTGTGAAAAACCTCCTTATACCGTCATCTCACCTTTTTGTATCGCCTCTCTCCGCGTGTATCCTATAATTTTTTTATTTTCACTTTTGTCCCCATTTCTCCACTTGTATCCTTTACAATTACCATCATCTTCGTCTTACTCACATTCGCCGTCATACATTTTCTTTTAGATTGAAATAAACTAATGAAGCTTCAGTTTTCGCATTAAATATTTCGGAAGGTTCGCCATTAGCTAAATTCTTATTATAGCAGTAAAAGTTCTCGTAATCTAATCACCCAATCCTCAGTTTCACAATCTTTATCATTTTCCAATTTGTACATATCATCGACAAAATTTAAAGTATAGGTATACATTTTTCAAAAAAAGCTGTAAAATGTGCTATGCGTACATAAACTAAATCGTTTCAAACCACGTTGAAATACATAATAATTATATGTGTTGTAATTCGCATTCATGGTTTAACTACATGTTTGACCCACATGACGGACCAGGTTTTGTGAAAACAATTTTTCGGTTTAACAATTACTTACCTACTACGATTTTTTTAAATGATATTAGTGAAAAGAATATTAAACTTCATGTTCCAAGGTATAAGACTGCATTGATTTTACGATTTTCTGTGCGTTAACTCATTTATACAGAACATTTCACGTTTGTTTCGTTATTTTTGTTTGTTTTATATTAGATTGGTCTTTTTTTATTCTTTCTTTCAGTGTATTTTTATATTGTGCCGTTGTAATGAATGGGTTCTATTCTATTCTATTCTAATGACGGCGGATTATAATGTGATTCTACAATAACCAACAGGATCACAGGTTTTAGTCGGTGGGAGTCCGACATACTTACCCCTTCGCCTTCCCCGGGCGGAGGGTATCCATAAGGATTTCGTGACTTAAAAAAGGTATCCTACACTACAAGTCACGTCTGTCATATTCGAATCTTAAAGATATGTTTATTGAAATGACGCAGAGGATGTTATGCATTTAGTTATATTAATAGGTAACTTCCCCTGTTTAATGAAACGCTGTTTGCAAATAATCAGTAATTATAGTTGATACAATGACACGTTTAAGGTTAATCTATTGATAATTTGATAACTACAATCGATAGGAGGTATTATGCGTTCATGCAATAATCTTGAAATATTTTTGTGATAAGTTCATTTTGCTATCTATCACACTGTGATAAGTATGTAAGCTATTGATAAATGTCCAATAGTTTTAACATTATTGTTACACGAGCATGATGTAGTTTCGGCTAATGTTTTTTTGCGAGGTGAAATCACGCGAAGTGATTCAATATGGTGGACAGAATAACACTTTCAGTAAGTACTATATAGACTACATTACAAAAATTTACATTTAGAAATGTAGCGTTCCTCCGCTATACATATTTGAATAATTAGTCATACAAGCTATTTACTTTTGTGTTACGTGTCATTTTATAAATATCATTTACGTACAGATAAGAGTATTATATTGGACTTGCCCTTGCTTTCTAGGACTTTGTCTGGATAAAACCAGAAGGGAAGTCGGAATTTGACGTCCCTATTGCAGTCAAAATATTAAACAGCTCTGGCGAACTCATTCAAGTACGAGATGACGATGGAAAAGTATATTCAACGTCGATTAAAAATGTTCTCAAACCACTACATGCCACGTCGACGACGGGTGTTGAAGATATGATCACATTGGGAGAGCTACAAGAGTACACCATCCTTCGAAATCTCCACATACGTTACCTCCAGCAGTTGATTTATGTAAGCCTTCATTTGTAAAGGGTTAGGCAAGCGGAGGGTTCTGTGACCTGTCCGTGTTACGTGTAATTGTGTCTCATACCCACGTAATCCAGGACGCAGAAATAAATTAGTACAATTGTACAAATTTTTATCATCTTCACAAAACTGAACATGTGTAATATTATTATTAACAATATGGAGAAAAAACTTATAAACATGGACGAGGTTGGGTTTAACTCAATGAGTTATCATACATGATAATATTTTTTATTCAAGTAAAAGGTTATAAAACGTTAAGAGTTTTGAATGGTTTGATTCGGCAACTGTACATTTATGTAATAAACATGTCATATATTGCAGACCTACACGGGCACGATGCTCATCGCCATAAACCCATACGAAATCCTACCCATATACACGATGGACCAAATACATTTCTATCAAGACCGAAACATTGGAGATATTCCACCTCACATATTTGCGATCGGTGAAAGTGCATTCAAGGAGTTGCTGGCGACGTCTTCAAATCAATGTATTGTTATAAGGTAGTTTTTTTATAAGTACTTATTGTTAGGATATGACGATTTTAATTTTATTACTTTCACTTTATTACAATTTGATCATTCGGTGAAATATATTTCAGTGGAGAGAGTGGTGCCGGTAAAACAGAAAGCACCAAACTTCTACTACAATACCTGGCTGCGGCTAGTGGTAAACACTCTTGGATTGAGCAGCAAATACAAGAAACCAACCCCATTCTTGAAGCATTCGGCAATGCTAAGACAGTCAGAAACGACAACTCCTCTCGGTTCGGTAAATATATCAACATCTACTTCAGCAGTCAAGGAACGATAGAAGGAGGCAATATCGAGCAATATCTTTTGGAAAAATCTCGCATAGTTGGGCAAAATAAAGGCGAAAGAAATTATCATATATTTTACGCGCTCGTAGATGGTTTATCAGCTGAAGAAAAGCGGAAACTGGAACTAAGTAAGCCTGCCGATTACGCTTACTTGAATTCTGGTAACATGCTCACTTGCGACGGTCGTAAGGACAGTATGGAATTTGCCGATCTCAGATCGGCATTTAAGGTGCTAAATTTTACAGACGGCGAAGTTTGGAGTATGTTTTCACTGTTAGCTGCGATATTGCACCTGGGAAACTTGAAATTTAAATCTTTTAACTTAAATAATATAGACTCCTCTGAGGTAGCTGACGCCTCGAATGCAAACAGAATAGCATCACTTTTGGGAGTTAACAAAAGCAAGTTGTGTGAGGCACTAACTAGAAAGACGATAGTTGCACACGGAGATACAGTGGTCTCTCCTTTAACCGCTTCTGCTGCAGTTGACGGTCGAGATGCTCTTGTGAAGGCAATCTACGGACATATATTTGAGTACATAGTAGAAATGATTAATAAAACATTGCACAAAGATCAACAGCTGTCCAGCAAATCCGTAGGTATACTAGATATTTTCGGTTTCGAAAATTTTGACTCCAACAGTTTTGAACAACTCTGCATAAATTATGCAAATGAAAATTTACAACAGTTCTTCGTCAGGCACATTTTCAAACTAGAACAAGAGCAATATGCCAAGGAGGGTATAACCTGGACGAACATCAACTATGTTGATAATCAGGAAAACCTAGACACTATAGGTTTGAAACCTATGAATTTGCTCTCGCTGATCGATGAAGAATCTAAATTTCCAAAAGGAACAGACATAACGCTTCTCTCCAAACTGAATGCCAATCACAGTAAGAAAACATGCTACATTACTCCAAAGTCATCACACGAGCATAGGTTCGGAATCAAACACTTTGCTGGCGATGTGTTTTATGAAGTTAAAGGTATGTCCGCTATAATTTTAAAGCCACAAGTTACCACTTTATACTACTTTTTAAACTGCAAGTTTGTACGCTAAGTGTACCTACAACGTAAGGTAGGATTTTAGTTGAATTATTTTGACATAATTAATAAGTTTCTTTGGGTGTTCCCCACCGTATCTATTCTTTTATATTTTTTAATGAAATACAAAGCGATTGTAAATAAAATTATGTTTTAGGCTTTCTCGATAAAAATAGAGATATGTTAACGACTGACGTCAAAGAAATGATAACGGACTCCAACAACGCATTTTTGAAATCGCTGTTTGTTAATGAAACAGCGCCATCACAAAGTGGAAGTCGAAAGACTGTTTCTTTGAGCCATCAATTCAAAACATCTTTGGAGGCCCTAATGAAAACTTTGTATGCTTGTCATCCATTTTTCGTACGATGCATAAAGCCAAATGAATTTAAAAAGCCCAAGGTAAACAACTCTTGATTATCCTATAATTTTGGAATCACTTTTTGGTGTTGTATGTATATAACTAATTAAAATAATATTTACTACAGCTACTTGACCGCAGCCTGTGCGTTCGTCAGCTTCGATATGCGGGTTTAATGGAGACAGCAAAGATTCGTCAAGCTGGGTACCCCATTCGTTACTCTTATGCAGAGTTTGTACATCGATATCGCCTTATAGTGTCCGGTATTCCACCAGCTGAGAAAACTAACTGCAAAGAAGCTACCAAGAAGATATGCACAGAAATTCTCAAAGATCAAGAATTTCGACTGGGACATACTAAAGTATTTCTAAAAGATGCTCATGACGTTATACTGGAGGAACTGAGGCATACAGTGCTGATGAGAGCTGTTATCCGAGTACAAGCGAATGCGAGAAGATTTATACACAGGACAAGATTCCTTCGATTGCGAGCAGCTGCGCTTTCAATTCAAAAGCATTTCCGAGCTCGTGGCTACAGAAACAGATACCTTGTTATGAGGAGAGGTTACTTACGTTTGCAAGCTGTAATTAGAACTAGAGAACTGAAGAAGACGTTCTCAAATATAAGATTATTCTTCAGGAAGTTTCAAGGTCATTGTAGAGGCTATCTGGTCAGAAAAATTACGAAAGAAAAAGGACATATAATAAAAACTAAATTGCTGCAGTTCAAAAAAGAAAAGGATGAGCTTCAAAAAACAGGTAAAGCCGATGTTAAATCAGCAGAAAATGATTATGAGAAGAAGTATTTGGAACTTATGAAGAAGATATGGATCATCAAGGATGTCCCAGTCGAAAACAATGTACAGAATGCCACAATCATAGACGATAAATACGTTGATGATGTTTTCGATTTCTTGAAAGATACTCAGACACCAGGTGGTACAGTACGTGGTGTAGGATTTGGAGTGGTAAGTTACGGTTTTAGAGAATTTTATTATTTTCGTTATTATTTTATACACTCCTCTTGCGTTCATGATTTTATGACATATTTTTATGATTTTATAGACAGCAACAAACAAGCCGCCAATTTCCAGCGTAATACCTCTTCCACAAGATCAAGATGAAGAATCTTTTGACGAGTTCAATTTCAGAAAATTTGCAGCGACGTACTTTTTGGGCAATACAAGTCACCAGTTCAGTCGCAGGCCATTGAAACAGTCTCTTTTAGACTTGCCATCACCTATGGATACAATAGCCGCACAAGCTTTGTGGGTTACAATTTTGAGGTTCATGGGAGATTTGGCGGAGCCAAAATATGTAGATGACAAAATAGACAATGTGCCTGTGATGACCAAACTTACCGGCACTTTGGGACAAGCCTTCCATAAAAGCAAAGAATTTGAAGTACGTATAACTACGTAATGAAATATGTATTTATAAAATCGACGTTCGACAAATAATTATTTTGCGTTTATCTTTATTTTGCAGGAATTATTAAAAAACAACAACAGTTATCACGGAGGGCAGCAAAATATGATTCAGAAGACACTAAAACGACAAACAAAGCTGAACGAGGAGTTTATGAAAAATTTGATGAAGGACGAAGTAACCAGCGAAATGTATAATAGCTGGCTTCACACTCGTCGAACTAGTAATCTGGAAAAGTTGCATTTTATAATTGGACATGGACTTATTAGGAAAGAATTGAGGTAAATACCTACCTAATCATACCTTATTACGATTTTCTTTCGTTACATTTTGGTTGATTGATATGCGTGGTTTTCATTTGTTTTTAGAGACGAGGTGTTCTGTCAACTGTGTAAACAACTCACCAACAATCCGTCTAAGACATCACATGCTCGTGGTTGGATATTGCTTTCACTTTGTGTAGGTTGTTTCCCGCCGTCAGAAAGATTTGTTAAATACTTACGCTCGTTTATACGAAGTGGTCCTCCGGGATATGCACCGTACTGTGAAGGACGACTTGTACGAACTTTCAAGAATGGTCCACGCATGCAACCGCCAAGTTGGCTCGAGCTTCAGGCTACAAAAACGAAGAAACCCGTCCTTTTAACTATAACACTTATGGATGAAACAGTGAAGACAGTTCAATCAGATTCTGCTACTACGTCTGAAGAAATCTGCCAACAAATTGCTGATGATATTGGTCTGACAGACGTATTTGGTTTTTCTTTGTACATAACGACCTATGATAAAGTTCTATCATTGGGAAGTGAAGCGGCTCATATTATGGACGCAATTTCACAATGTGAACAGTTTGCTAAAGAACAAGGTACACCAGAGAAAAATGCTCCATGGAGGTTATTCTTCCGGAAAGAGATATTTACGCCTTGGCATAATCCACTTGAAGATAAAATAGCAACGAATTTAATTTATTACCAAGTGGCAAAGGGAATCAAATTTGGCGAGTATAGATGCGATTCAGAAAAGGACTTAGCAATGCTAGCAGCACAACAGCATTACATCGAATATGGGCCACAAATAGATCCGAATGTTTTAAGGAAGGTTATAGTAAATTACATTCCCAACCAATTCATTCAATCTAACGACACTGCTTTAACGAAATGGGAGCACCTTGTCACGAAAGCATTTGAATCATCGCAGAATGTACAGTCCAAAGTTGATCCTTTAAGATGCAAGGAAGACATTGTTATATTTGCAAAATTAAAATGGTTCATGCTTTTCTCAAAGTTTTTTGAGGCTATGAAACTAAAAGGTGACACAATTAATAAAGATCTTGTAATTATCGCAGTAAACTGGATCGGCATCTACATCGTAGACCAGACGGAACATATTTTACTTGAAATATCATTTCCTGAAGTGACTTACGTTGCGTATAACGAAGATGAAGACCGTGAAAATGTGGGTAAAGTAACAATTAGAACTATACAGGGCGAGGAATTTATTTTCCAAAGTGTGGATGCTAGCGAGATGAGTTCTCTTATTATATACCTCATTGACGGATTGAAAAGACGATCTATTTATGTCGTTGCACAAACAGATTCACAAGGTTATAGTGACGCTTCATCATTTTTGCAATACAAAAAGGGTGATCTCATAACACTTTTACAAGATTGCACAGGTGAAACTTTAACGAACGCTACGTGGGGTCATGGCATGTGCAATGGACAAGAAGGATTGTTCCCCACGGAACAAGTATACATTTTGCCCACTATGACTATGCCATCTAGTAATGTTTTGGAAACATTTAGGAAAAGCAACGTTAACAAAGAAAAGAAACAAACGTCAAAATATAACACCATTCAGAGAAAGAGAATGTACACTTTGGAGAAATATGCAAAAGAGCACTTCAGAGAGAAATATGACGTGAATACTACAATATCTCGACAATCCACACTAACTGCCGCGAAAAAGACTGTAGCAGGCGACTTGTGGGCGCACACTCGTGATCCGATCAAAAAGCCTTTATTGAAAATATTAACTGACGAAAACTTAGCTAAGAATGCTGTTGCTGCGTTCTTTGGGATTTTGAAGTACATGGGAGATGTACCAGCTCCAAAAGCCAGAACGGCTACAGAATATACAGATGAAATATTCAGAGCTGCTGTGTCACAACCCGCTTTACGTGATGAAATATACTGCCAGATTATGAAACAACTAACAAATAATCGTATACTTCTTAGTGAAGAGAGAGGATGGGAGTTGATGTGGCTTGTGACAGGAATATTCGCTTGTGGGCAAAATTTGATGAAAGAATTAGTAGAATTCCTTAAAACACGACCTCATCCTATTGCTAAGGATTGCTTGAAGCGCGTCTTCAAAATACAAAAGACTGGAGCTCGAAAGTATACTCCGTATGTGGTTGAAGTAGAAGCCATTCAGCACAGAAGCATGCAAATTTTCCACAAGGTTTACTTCCCTGATGACACTGATGAAGCATTTGAAGTAGATTCTTCAACAAAAGCGAAAGACCTTTGCGAACAAATAACTGGAAGACTAAATTTAAAGAATAGTGACGGATTCAGTTTGTTCGTGAAGATAGTTGACAAGGTGTTCTCTGTTCCGCAAAATTATTATTTCTTTGATTTTATTCATGAACTCGTGGAATGGATGAAAGAGACACGTCCGCTTCATGGATGTAAGTTGAATTTATTATACAGAAATGTAAGATTTAAACAATTTACGGTTCATTTACTATAATACATTAATTTATTTTCAGCTGGTGCACAACTAAATATGAACTACCAACTATTCTTCATGAAGAAACTTTGGATCAATACCGTGCCTGGTAGAGATAAAAACGCTGATCAGATTTTTTACTTCCCTCAAGAATTGCCTAAATATTTGCGCGGATATCACAAAACTTCAAAGCAAGAGCTTGTAGAATTAGCTGCTTTAGTTTATAGATCGAGATTTGGAAGCGATCAATCTCTGTTGCCACAAATTCCGCAAATGATCGAGGATCTTATTCCCCCAGATATGATAAGAGTACAATCAAATTCACAGTGGAAATCCACTATAAGTGCTGCCTATCTGCAGCACGGTGTCATGAGTGAGGAAGAAGCTAAGGAAAAATTTTTGAAAAAAATTTACCAACTACCCACTTTTGGCACAGCATTTTTTGAAGTAAAACAGACTTCTGATCCTACATATCCTCAAATGGTTATTATTGGTATTAATAAGAATGGTGTTAGCATCATTCATCCACAGAGTCGAGTGAGTATTTAATAACGTTAACGAATCTTTCTCTGTATATGACTCGTTTTTATCGATGTACGTCTTTGTTTCAGGACTTGTTGGTAACTCATCCATTTTCTCAGTTATCCAATTGGTCATCAGGGAATACGTTCTTCCATATGACAATGGGGAACGTTTTGCGAGGTACAAAAATATTATGCGAAACTTCATTAGGATACAAAATGGACGACCTTATTTCTTCCTACATTGTGGTACTACGAGAGTCAATGAAGGAGAAACGACGCCGTGAATAACTTTAGCATTTTATAGTCAATGTATATACTTGATTAATGTTGTGCGATGTGCGCCGATCAAATATTCGATGGCGGCGTATTCGGTGAGACATACTAATATTTTTCAGATGTTTACACTAAAACAATATTAGAATCAACCTTCGTACTGATTTTCAAAGTTTTTTACATTTTAGCTAAAGCAAGTAAATGTTACTAAAAATAATCCATCTAAAAAATGTGAAATAAACTTATTTAAATCTAGTATGAATAGGATGTAAACTGGTTTGAATAAATCAAGATAATGTTTTAAATAATTCTTAGTTGTGTAAATAATTTTCTATGCTCCATGGTACACAGTAGTAGAGCTATTATTAAATACTATATGTACTCTATAATTAAATCTATATGTGTATGGTATAAACGTTTTTAATTTATATCTTCTTGTTATTATTTGCAACCTCCAAATACACACATCAAAAGTGTCTAGGGATCAAGTACGTTTAAGAGTATTGCTGCAATTAGGGTTAATTATATTAACTTTTTTGTATCGCTATTGATACTTTTTAGTGAGTTTTAACATTTAAATAAGGAATATTGTTTAAAATTCGATAATAAGAAGAAAATCGATTGTCAATGTGGTTTTGTATAAAAATGAGTTAGAGCGTTTTGACAAAATCATTACAATATCTGCATCGGAACCGAAACAATTTACATTATTATGGAGAGACGACATCATTTAACCCGAGAAGTGATGATGCGAGCCGTCGGAATGTTGGAAGCTGGTTCCAGGCAACGTGCTGTGGCTTTCACTCTTAACACTACACAGAGCGTCATAAGTCGCCTCTGGACGCGCTATCGCATGACGGGCAGCGTGGCCGAGCGACATGGAGGACGAGGTCGCATCACGACTCGCAGACAGGACCGGTATATCCAAAATACTGCTCGACGGAATCGTACCATGACCGCCATGATGTTGGTTACGAGGCTCCACAGCTCCTCAGGCTTGCTAATAAGCGATCAAACAATCCGAAATCGTTTACGTGAAGTGGGTCTGCGATCCCGAAGGCCGCTCAGAGTTCCACCTATTGCACCCTGCAATCGCAGGACCCGTTTACGATGGGCTCGCGAACACAGAAACTGGGAGGAAGAAGACTGGCGCTATGTGTGCTTTTCGGATGAATCCCGCTTCGGTATGAGACCGGATGCAAGACGTACTCGAGTTTGGAGAACATCTGGACGTCATGAACGTTTGAGATATTGTCAGGAAGTTCATCCATATGGTGGGGGAACAATAATGATATGGGCCGGTATTTGGATCGGCGGAAGAACCGATTTCATTTGGATCAGGGGTAACCTCAATGCTCAAGTTTACGCAGAGAGGATTGTTTCAGATGTTATCATCCCTTTGCGAGGCCAGTTGGGTGATTCATTTCAACTAATGCATGACAACGCACGTCCACACACGGCTAGAGTCGTAACACGCATTCTTGCCGAAGCTCGTATCAACGTTCTGCCGTGGCCTGCTCAATCGCCAGACCTCAATCCAATTGAGCACGCATGGGATATGCTTCAAAGAAGAGCTGTGCCGAGTATGCATACCGTACATACTCTACAACAATATTTTGACTTGTTACAAAACACATGGGCGGCCATTCCTCAAAGTGATTTTGATGAACTCATCTTAAGCATGCCAAATCGCTGTAATTGTGTGATTCGTGTTAATGGTGGAAATACAGATTATTAATTTTCTTATCTTTACAATAAAAATGAGCAAAATCATCATTTTCGCCATTTTTTTGTCATTTAATTGACGCCGTTAATTCGAGTTTTTTCCCACAATTTGCAAAAACATCAATTTTAGTTTATTTTAATTAAATATAGGGGTAAGCGGTTAAATAAAACATAAGCATTAAAGTAAGAAGTCGTCCTGGAAGACTGGATTTGGTAAATATTGCTTAAATAATTTTTATTTCAAAAATATTCACTTGATCCCTAGACACTTTTGATGTGTGTAGCTTGATAATGTAAAAAAATCACTAAACATTAAAAAAAGAAACTCTTGTGTTTTGTAAAATATGACTAAATCACCTCACTTATGTGAATATGTCAGCTAGTGGTATGGTTTCTAACAGTGCAGAACCCGCCCATGCAGGTATCACTGCTGTATTTCAGATAGCAGAGTAATGGCGCATTGGTGTAAACCAAGTCGTCAGACGACTTTCGCTTGGCCGCCGAAGGCGGCAAGCTACCCGGTGTGAAGAGAGATTCGTCTGACAACGGTAGTTTGCAGCCGAACTCGGCCGTACCGACTGGGTGCGTCGTCTTCGACAAGGCAAAGTAGTCCACCGAAGGTCGGCAGACGACCTCGATAATAACAAGAGGCCTCAAAAAAAGCTGTACTACAAATAGAAAACTCCGTTTTAACTATTACACACACAAAACAAACAACGGTCAACATATCTATCAGACTTACAACAAATTACTCAAAAGGTGTATTCATTATTCTAAGAAAATGGCGAACAAAAAATTCGTCGTAAACAGCAAGAATATTTGCAAAGCTACATGGACAATAATTAAAAATGAAACTAGTAGTAGCTACGTTAAAAATTATATACAAAAAATTAAGGACAAAGACACTGAAATAACGGAACCAATAAAAATTGCAACCAAAATAAATAATTATTTCATAGAATCAATTACCGAATTAAATAATGACGTACAAAATACGATACCTAACAAAAAAAACTTAAATTCTATCTTTCTAACTCCTGTAGACGAAAATGACATTAAAAAAATAATTTTGTCACTGAATAATACTCCATCTGAAGGTTATGACTCTATATGTACTAAAGTTATTAAAGCATGTAAAGATCAGATAGGCGGAGTACTTGCCTTTTTAGTGAATCTCTCCTTAGAAACTGGACGTTTTCCAGAGAAATTAAAACTCTCAATCGTAAAACCATTACACAAAAAAGGAGACACTACAGATATTACTAACTATAGATCTATCACTTTGATTCCAGTATTATCAAAAATATTTGAAAAAATCATGTAGGTACCACAAGCTTTTATCCTACTTTAATCCATTTAAAATTATACACGAGAATCAACATGGGTTTCAAAAAAACAAATCCACAGCACATGCAGCGTTTCACATAGTTAACGAGATTTTATAAAATGTAAATAGAAGGTTGTACACAACAAGACTATTTTTGGACATGTCTAGGGCTTTTGATTTCGTTTCACACGACTTATTATTGACGAAATTAGAGCATAACGGAGTTCGAGGTCCAGCACTAAGTTGGTTAAAATCCTACCTTACAAATAGGTCACAATGCGTACAAATAACCCAACTAAACACAAAAAATTGTATCGAAATTGATCGAAATATATAAATCTCACTTTAAAAGTAATAATTACGGAGTTCCTCAAGGGAGTATACTTGGTCCCCTGCTATTCCTGCTATTATATATTAATGACGTATGTGATAGCACGAAACACGAAATAATTCTTTTCGCAGATGATATTTCAGTGGTTGTCACTTCTCCAATAAATTCAACATTAGAATATCATAAAAACGAATTGAAAAAAACAATGACATCACTAATTGACTACCTACAAGAGCACAATCTTCAAATTAATTTAACTAAAACTAATATAATGAATTTTAACAACTTACGAACACAGACAATTGACATGGATTATAAAGGACAAATCTTGCGAAACGAAACCAATGTGACATTTCTAGGATTAATTATAGACCAAAAGATGAATTGGAGGGATCAAACGGACAAAGTATGTGCTAAAATAAATAGGTTTGCGTTTGCTCTTTACAAATTGTCAAAAGTAGCGAATAAATGCACAGCCAGGACTGCCTATTTTGCGTATGTTGAGTCTGTACTCAGATACGGTATCGTAATTTGGGGCCACGGAACAGATTTTGCGAAGGTTTTTATTGCTCAAAAGCGATGTATACGTGCCATCAGCAATGTAGCACCGTATGTCTCATGTCGTCCTCACTTTAAAACACTAAGAGTATTGCCCCTCCCATGCCTGTACATTTTCGAAGTTGGTATATTCGTGAAACGAAATCTATCGAAATTCTTAATAGCGAAGGACGTAACATTCAGAAGCCCAATAAAGTCGTACTAAATACAATACCCAAAACAAAACGTTTTCTAAATAACTCGTATGTAATGTGTGGAAAATTTTTTAATCATATACCAGATCGCATTAAGCCTCTACCATTGACTAATTTTAAAAAGGAATTGCGCATGTGGCTCTTTGATCATTTGTTTTACTCTATTGACGAATTCATGAATCATAAAGAATAATTAATTGATGCATACATTTTTCCCCATCATTAAAAAAAATATATAAACTCTTTTGCAAAAAAAACGGGCACTTTAGATTTTTTTCTCTACTTCAATGAAGAAGAACAAGAAATAGGTTTTATTAATTTGACGATATATTGGCATGTTATTTGAAGCATCCTGGCATGATTCTTTACGTTCCAAATTTAAAATTAAAATAATGATTATGATAAATAAAAGAAAAATAATGATTATTGTGGATTATTCTAAAATTGCTTTACTAATGGCGCGAATTGCTGAAACGATTTTTAACTGATTACGATATTTTAAAACTTTTTGGATATTTTCTGCAAATTAAACAATTTAATCTTTCTTTTTACATTAAATACCACTTTTTGATGAGCGATAAAGTGATAAGAGCCGGTAAAATTATAGCCCTACTTGAAGAAGGTTGTTCGCAAACTTACGTGTCTCAGCGGCTGAATGTGAGTCGTTCAACTGTCCAGAGGACTTGGCAACGGTATCAAGAGACCGGTTCGGTCAAAAGAAGACCCGGTTCGGGAAGAAAACGATGCACAGAACCAAGAGATGACCGCTTTTTGGTGAGTCAGGCGTTGCGGAATCGTAAGGCGTCAAGTGTGGACCTAAAGAAGTGCCTTGAAGAAGTAAGAGGAGTAGAAGTTAGCTTGTGGACGGTCAGGAGGAGGCTTTTGGCTGCCAATATCAGGAGTTACCGCCCAGCTCGGGGCCCTAAATTACTCCGTGAGCACCGTGTTGCTCGACTTCAGTTTGCTCGGAACTGTGCTTCATGGACTCTAGAGGACTGGAATAAAGTATTGTTTTCTGATGAAGCTAGAATCTCTTTGTGTGGAGAGGACCGACGCCGGCGAGTACTGCAAAGACCACGGGAACGCTATGCGGAAGTGTGTTTCGAAGAAATCACTCCTTATGGCGGAGGCTCCGTTATGTTTTGGGCAGCAATTAATTCGACGGAGCGTACGGAGTTAGTTTTCATAGAAAATGGAACATTAAATGCACACCGGTACATAATGGAAGTCCTAATTCCATATGCACAACCCACATTGACTGCACTTG